CTGTATTCCAGCCCTAAACCTAACCTTATCCCTAGCCCTGACCATAACCTTATTCCTGACCTTAACCAGGTCTTTAATGATGTTAAATAGCGTGTTTCTAAGCAATTTGAAGAAAAAGAGCGAACATGTGTAGATTCAGTCCAGACGGTTCTCATATTTCCTCTTTTTTCCGAGGTCGTCATTTAAGCTCTCCATACTGTTCGCCTTTTTGTGTCACCAAAATTTTACGATATTAGCCTATTTAGTCATCTTAGAATCTCTTTTTCAGTTTGCTGAAAAGATCTTGCGAAAAGAGTCAATAGACTTTCCGTCTACAAAAAAAAGCCATAAACACACACAGGCTGCAAATTGCCACCACTCCTCTCCTAGAGACAGGTAACTCATTTTCCACCATTCAGTGTTCAGACATCGTGAATATTTTCATCATGATGGCTGTAGAAACAAACCATATAGTTGTTTGAATGAACTAATAAGTGCAGTAGGTAATATACTCTATGTGCTATTTTTCACTTTTTAAAACAGATGACTTGACAAACATCTGTCATTTCTGCGGGGAAGAAGAGCATGCAACTGACAACAAATGGGTAATGACATCAAGAAAGACTGCTAAATGTTATGATCAATTCCCATAAATGAAATTTTAACATTGGGATTTTTAATTATTTATTTTTTTACAGATTCAGTGTGAGATGTGTTTGCGGTGGTTCCACCAGCTCTGCGTGAAAAGCCCACCACCAGAAGATGTGTTTATTTTTTTCGCTTGTACATAGTTGACACTAAAGGTCCACAGCTAGTGTTCTTATGGCACACATTGTTGAGAAAGTGTCGGATTGGCAACAGCTTCAAGAAGGCTGATTTCTTTTTTGTCTTTATTTTGATAAGTTTATTTGCCACATAATGCTTTGGACACGTCAGATCTGTGTTGAGAGGACTCAGAAGTACAACACAAAAGCAAAGCTTTTAAAGCCGAAAAAGGGCCTTTATTTGCAAAAATACATTGCAGGTTAATTTATCTTAACATCTTGATATCTATCTATCTATCTATCTATATATATAGATGTATAAATAAGTAAATAAATAAATTTCCCCACTCGCCCCTGCGGGCAGTCAATCCTTCAAGCTCGGGTCCTCTACCAGAGGCCTGGGAGCTTGAGGGTCCTGCGCAGTATCTTAGCTGTTCCCAGGACTGCGCTCTTCTGGACAGAGATCTCCGATGTTGTTCCCGGGACCTGCTGGAGCCACTCGCCTAG